AGTTACGTAATTTTAATAAGGAATTTTTTTAGGTTGGTGATAACCCATTTGAAATAATTCACTTTCTTGATAGATGCTAAAGACATTTATCTTTAGGTTCTTAAAATTAATAAAATAATACTTAGGTAATGTTCAAAATGTGGATCTCCATGATTCCATTTTTAAGTAAATCTTACTATGTAATTTTTCAAAGCCATATTGTTTTAGTTATTTTTTAAATTGGGAATATCTCCAAAGACAGTTATGGGCTTAAAAGTGAATTTTTGGCTAATATGAGCTATTTGGCAATTTTTTAATCCTGGATTTCCCCACATTTCTGTTTATTATACTACAATAAAAAATGATCTTATGAAATACATTAAGCTTAATGAAATTTTGGTTTGAAACACAAAATAATTAAGAAAAACAAAACTAAAGCCAAAGTACTAAATTCTAAAATTAAGTAAAAGCAGTGTTTAGCCATGAGATGCCTGGAAGAGAGTATCATTAGGACACGTTGGCTGATAGTAATTCCCCTCCCTTTGACAGCAGTTTGTGCAAAGTTCCAATAAAAATATATGGTTCTAAAACATGTGGACAACTAATAAATATGACAAGAAATAAACACTTTAAAGTAAAAAGGACAACCTAAGGTTTTTGAGTGCTGTTGAAAATAAATCAGAACTTGAATGAAAACAAAAATCAGAGAAAGCCGTATAGAATTTTCTCAGTGCCATAAAAATCCTACTAACAAAAGTCCTTGTGTTACAAACAATTTTCTTGAGAATATAAACATTAATTCTGGAATATCCTAAACTAAATAAATTTTTCCTCCACCAAGGAATAGTATCTAGAACAACATTAAAAATAATTTAATAATTTTATTAACAAGGAATAGTAGACATTACCTGTCATTAAGATTCTTATCTTCAAACGTTCCACCTTGGATTTATGAATGTTGAGTATGTATACGGTGTCCTATATGAGTATAAACACAGGACGTGCGTGCACACACACACACACACACACTCTCTCTCTCCCTCTCTCTCTCTCTCTCTCTCCCTCTCTCTCTCTCTCTCTCTCTCTATATATATATATATATATATATATATATGGTGTTTTAAGAAGATACAGCACTTGAGCTCACTGCAATAGCAACAGGAGGTGGCTATGAAATTATTCTATTCTTTACAGTAGTACAGTATGTACCGCAGTGAATTATATATATATATGAACAAATACAGTTGATAGTTGAACAATACAGGAATTAGGGACACTGATCCCATGCAGTCAAAAATTTGTGCTTAACTTTTGACTCACAAAATCTCAACTGCTATCAGTGTATTGTTGATCAGAAGCCTTTCTGATAACAAAAACTCAGTAAATATTTCATAAGTTACATGTATTATGTACTGTATTCTTACAATAAAGTAAGCTAGAGAAAAAAAATGTTATTTAAACAATCATAAGGAAGAGAAAATGCATTTACTATTCCTTATGTGGAAGTGGATCATTACAGAGTTCTTTATTCTTCACGTCGAGTAAGCTAAGGGGGAGGAGGAAAAGTAAGGGTTACTCTTACTGTCTAATGGGTGGGAAGTGGAAGAAAATCCACATATAAGTGCAACCTCACAGTTCAAACCTGTGTTGTTCAAGGGTCAACTAGAATGTCATGACTCTTCTTTGCTTCTTGGGAGCATTTCCAGCATCATTAGTGGCACTTTCTATAAGTCTCATGGTGTCTTTCCACCATGAATTAAACAAGATGAAAAATATACACAAATCACGAGAGATCGTTTTTACTGCAATACTCAATTTATTGGAGATACAACTGGCTCACGCAGAGATGATTAGCATCACATGGTGTTTTAAGAAGATACTCACAGCACTTGAGTTCACTGCAATCGCAACAGGAGGTGGCTATGAAATTATTCTATTCTTTACAGTAGTACAGTATGTACCGCAGTGAATTTTATGCAGTTATGACTTAATACTTCATGTTTATGTTTGTTTCCATTTCTCTAGACTACTAATGGCTCAGTGTACAGTCTGTTTGTATGCATATGTTTTGAGAATTTTTAACTTTTGTGTATATTTTATGATAGTAATAAGAAAATAGACTAGTATCTACATATATTTTATGCATTCATGACATGGCTAATTAATCTTAATATTTTCAACATTTCAAGGCTACACAGTTCCTCCACGAGTGTTTTCAAATTATTGCATATCTACAAATAATTTTCCAATAGCTGTATTGAAAAAAAATCGACCTGTAAGTGTATCCATATTGTTAAAACTTGTGTTGTTCAAGGCTCAAATGTGTGCAATATATACCTATATGCACACTGTGTTAAGGTTTATTAAAAAGTCTAAGACAAACCATGAAATAATACTAGTGACTACTTCTGGGCTTTGGAAATCTAGGCAAATGTTTTTTTCACTTTGTTAGAATCTACAAATTGCAAATTATTTGGTGAAAGATTCTCATAAGTACACAATTCCTGGATGCTATTAAAATATAAATACATAAAAGAATTAATAGGAGAATTTTGAGAAACTGTGACCCAAGAAGTTATTTATTTCTTGCTGTATTGTTCTTTTCTTCTTAAATCAGCTGAAATGAGTCTATATCTTTTATTTAATTGTAAAGTTAAAGTTTATTTTTAAAACTAATATTTAGAAACAGTGGGATGGTAGCAGTGACATTAAGGAGGTTGAAGAATCCTGTCATGCCAGTCACTGAAGACCCATATAATACAAATTACCTTAAAAAGTATCTTTAAAGCATAGAAATAGAATAATTAATCAATAAAAAAGAGTCTCAAACAGATTCAACTCTTATGAGGAACTTAGTAAAACGGTAAGCTTTTCAACACAAAGGAGTTAAAAAGAACTATTTAATACGATTGGTTGAGATAACAGTTTGAAAGGAAAAAAGAGAGAGGGGGAAGTTAAACCCAATGTGAGATGATTCACTCAAATAAACACCAGAAGGACGAATGAGTTAAAACAAAACACGAAACTATGAAAAAGCCAAAATGACGGGGAGTCAGCTACTTAAGAAATCACGAGCAAATATATTTTTAGCTTTAATATTAGAGAAAATTTTAAAAGATTATTGCAATACTATAGAGAAATGCAAAATGTACCAGTGGAAAAAAAGCAGCAAAACTATTAAAATATTTACCTCAAAATTTTGATCAAAAATCAATATGATTAGGTTTTAGAAAGAGTTTATCCAAAATTATAAAAATGTAGGACAGACAAATGGAGACAGTTATAAATAAAAATTAGCAAAAGATAAAAATTATAAGTAATCAAAATATGCAGAAAGTTTACTCTTATTAGTAAACAAGCAACACATCAAAATAAGTGTGAGATATGGTTTTACAACTACTAAACTAGCCAAAATAAATTTTAAAGATAACAGGCTAGCAAGAATGTGGAGAACTGGTACACCACGTTTTTGACTGCATTTATAACTCATTTTGAAAACAATATGGCAGTTGGAAACAAGGGTGATGAAGAGGTTTCCTCTCGTGGCTCTGATATTTCACTATATGGACTTTATATTGAAGATATAATTTCACAGAAATAAAAGAGTTCAGTACAAATGAACTGTTGTATTACAGCAATGAAAATGGAAATAATTATATTAAACAATTGTTAGATAAATTAATACAGATATATGAAAATACTTAGAAATAGGAAAAATTCTTATTGTGTAAGTCAAAACAAAAAATGTCATAGTATATACTCAGTATTATTTTCAATTAGGTAGTAAATATAGTAAAAAATGCAAACTAGAAAAATAATTGATATGCTAAAATAATACATATGTGTGTGTTTCCTAATTTAAAAGTGTTTAAACCCAATTATCCCTGGTAACTGGTACAAAGATATAATAACCAGATACCAAAAATTATGGTTTTATAAAATATTTTTTTTATTAATAAAGCATATAGTAAAAAAAATAAGTTTATAGTCAGGGTACCTCATGCGTGTGTGTGTGTGTGTGTGTGTGTGTGTGTAATGGAAGGGTCCCTGGTCTATTTCTCTCTATATTTCTTATGCAGTTATCTTCAGAAGCGATAATATACGTAAATTATTGCACGTATTCTGTGGACTTCATAGAGTCACTATGAAGGTTAAACAGAATAATATGTTCAAAAATACCTATTCTGGTCTATAGCAGTACAATACATTCCAAGTGCTCAAAAAATGTTCTTTCAATATATTTAATTAAAGGACAATAATATCAAGGATTTGTTACATTATAACTTTAATAAATGTAATACAAAGATTCGTTATTTCACCTTGAAATGATAGAACTAGAATTGATCATTTTGGTAGGCCCCAGCAACTCTATAAAGTTCTATGGAATGAGCAGAGCATGAAGTCAGAATCACTAAAGGACAATTATAAGAAGATGATAAATGCATGGATGCCCTGGAAAAGCATTCCTTAGAAGCTTTAAAGTGTGTGTGTGTGTGTGTGTGTGTGTGTGTGTAAAATAACCTTCTATAAAAGAAACAAAATTAAAGCACAACATACAGGGCCTTTCATTACAACCTCTACCTGGTTTCACAACATGCAATGCACATGCAGGAAACAGATGTGTTTAACTAACTTTCTATGACCCAGGTAAGCAAAGTCTAATTCTAGGATGCAGGACTTTTCTTCACTTATCTGGAGTGACGAATAATGCTTCTCACATGGGAATGCATTATCTACTTGAGGAAACACAGACGGCCCTTTGATTTCCCCTGTGCTTGATGCACAGATAAATACTTACACACGCACAGATAAACGCTTCCACTCCATCATCTGCTCATTGGAGGACAAAGCACATCCATGCAGCCTATTACATTTGCTCTAAAGCCATGTCTGGTTTGCAAGTTAAATTTCGTAGTCTCTATTTACTAGGTTCATAGAGGGGATACTCAACTCTAGATCCCCAAAACTGGATGTTATTCTCTCATCCCTGACTCCTCAAAGTGCCTGTGCCCACCACATACCTGTTTCTTCTGGATCCTGAATGGCACGCTTCTTCCTGCTGCTCTGACTGGGGTTGCCTTCTCCTGGAGCTGGTGCTTCAAAGATCTGGGAAGAGAAAAACTCCAAGTTATTTGAAAGACAGCTGAGGCAAGGGAGAGGCACCAGTGGAGACAGGATCGTGCCTGCAGCTTGCAGCTGCTGCAAACTCACTTTCAGTCCCATGGTGACAGCTGGAGCTTCCTCCAGGGTGGCCTTGGGGGCTCCCGCCCCTGCTGGCAGTTGCTCTGAGTGGTGGCCCTGCAGCTCTGCCCGGAGGCTGGCCAGATCCCTTTGCAGTGTGGCCACTTGGTAGAAAGACACCACCGTGAGGCAGCAGAACAGCAGTGCCAGCAGCAAGGTTGCAGCCAGAAGCTTTCCGTCTTTGGAGTATCGGACAGAGGGGCTTTCCTTCTGTGGGAGGATGGAAATACACTCCTTCAATTTCATTTCTTCTCTTTTCTTAAGGCAAGAAGTAAGGCGTGACTGCTCCCTTTCTGTGGAGTCATCCATATCACTACTTGAACTTTGAAGGTTGGGGCCCTTAGAATAAGTGACCACAGGGAATGGATCATTTCCTGTTATCTGTGTGTGGTGATGTCCTGCGTGCACTACATGGCAGGGCTCGGCTCACCCCTCAGGAGGGTTCTCCTGAATTTTCTTCTTTCTGCCTTTCTGCATCTCTACCCCTACTGCACAGTAGGTTTGCTGGCATTTGCCCTCCGATTGGATTGCTCAATCTGTCTTCCTCATTTCACTTTCAGTTTTTGTAAGAATTTCAAGGTCATCTCATAACATCCATGCTCAAGTAGATTTAAAGCCCCTTACATCTGCTGAGGAAACTTGGAGTTATTTGGCACATTCAAGGGAAAGCTCTGAAGACATGCACATGTCTAAGAAGCCCTCCCTTAAGTGTAGTAAGGGAGCCTTGGCTCCTTAGGGCCACATGGCTTCACAAGGAAGCGGGGAAAGCAGCTGAAAGTTCCTGGTGCTGTAATAAAAATAATTAATGTGCAGGTCAGATAAGCTAAGTGCTTTAGTATTGAATTGTGCTTAACTAGAGAGTGATTTATTAACAGTCTTCAAGTATGAAATAAAATGGAGTATCCTTGAAGGACACATGGAAGTAAATCCACTGGGAATTATTCATATTATTATCCAAATAATGTCATAAAAATAAGCCTAAGTTTTGCAGGCATATTTAGACATCTGAAGGATTCTCTAAATATAAGTGAATGTATTTTTAAGGAAAACAGGCATACACATTTTCCTTCTGAGACTCATCACTGAAACTCAATTATGCATATGAACAGCCTGTCCCAAGGAGCCTGGTCTCAGCTTTGCTGCTCAGACTTCTGAAGCTTTAAGTCCCTGCTCAAACTGATACTTGTTTAGGAGAATCAGCCTTCTCTCCGGCTCCAAACGCCTGTCTGCTACCATTAACCACTCTCAAGTAGCTTGTCTACGACTCACACATCGACTGTGCCACAGCCTACAGGTCTGTATACAAAAGGTCCTTGATCAAACAAGAGCCACCTTGGCTTCTGATCTCTCTGTTGTTGACCTGGTGGACCTGTGAGAACTGCTGCATTCATCCTAGTCCTGCCTCATCCTGGTGGCTGGTTCCTGGATGTTCCCCAGTTTCTCACTGCTTTGCCCCAGCATTGAAATATTGATTCATCTTTCAACAAATCTTACTGAGCACTTACCAAGCCCTGGGTAGTCAGTACTCCCCTATGGGCTAAGAGTAGTGAGCTTTAGTTCTGTCTTGCTCTACATTTCTATACAGTCTTAAGTTAGAAATTTACAGAAATAATATAGTGCAAACGAGAGAACTCTAGACCCAGGCTTCTAGAATGCATTTGCCTCACCCCTCACTCTCCTTAGGGAAAGTACACAAACTCTCTGTGATCCCATTTTTTTCACCTGTGAATTGGTATGACGACATTAACTGTCCCTGAGACATCTAATGAGGTTTACAAGAATGTGGAAACAAATTACATTTTGAATGCGTCCATTAAAAAATGTTTTTCCACAGGTTTTTGGGGAAACAGGTGGTATTTGGTTACATGAATAAGTTATGTAGTGTGATTAGTGAGACTGTGGTGCCCCCATCACCCGAGCAGTGTACACACTGAGCCCTATTTGTAATCTTACATTCCTTACCCCTCCCACCCTATGCCCTGAGTCCCTCAAGTCCATTATATCATTCTTATGCTTTTGCATCCTTGTAATTTAGCTTCCACTATGAGTAAGAATATACAATGTTAGGTTTTCCATTCCTGAGTTACTTCACTTAGAATAATAGTCTCCAATCCCATCTGCACTGCTGTGAACACCATTAATTGATTCCTTTTTATGGGTGAGTAGTATTCCATCATACACATATCATGGTGAGTAGTATTCCACAGATATATATATGTGCTTATATATATTATATATATTTATTCCATATATACTAAATGATCAGGGATATGTAAATCAAAAGCACGATGCGACGCTTCCATTTCTTCATTCACTTTTATTCTTTACATTCAAAATATGAATGAAACGTTTTCCAGCTACAAACGGTGCTCTACCAGACATTTTCTACAACTGTCCTCATAACATCTGCGAGGGTTTCCCAGCAAATGCCTGCTGAGGAATCAGCACTTGTACAGGTGCCACCCAGTTACCCTCTGATGAATTCCCATTTCCTCATTGTCTCACTACAAATGAGGCAGTCAGACACTCATTTTTACCCATTAGGATTGTTCTTTTTTCCTCTTTGCTTCTGCAAGTTTCTAACACCTTTTTAAAATACCTTGTTATTATGCTGGCTCCCAAAGTAAGCTGCTCTCTAATTTCTCTTACCTATAACTCCCATATTAAGGTGACTGTGCCCCAGTCTAACAGCTATGTAGACAAGAGGTCCTCCACCTGCCTTCTCAGGAAGAAGTCTCCTTTTATAAGGATGTTTTTAAACCCTTTTGCATCAGACATGACACAATACAATTTTCTGTCAGTTCTTGTTCCAGGTAAATTAGGGTGAGTCACGTGCAGTAACCTTGCTATAAAAAATGGAATTCGTTTGGGGATTGTATGAAGGCCTTCTCACTGAAAATAACTGAGACCCTTTACATTATGTGTTTGTGTATTTTCATGACCTAAATACGTATAGAAATAAAAGGATGCAAGGCAGTGCTAGAAAGCAATTTCTCTCTGCTTTTCACTCAGGATTTCCTGTAGCCACTGCTTCTCCCCATCAGTAGACATTCTCCCACTTCTGACGAGTCATCCCCCTCCATATACCTCAGTGAAAATTCTGAAAAGAGGGAATGATTTGACTGCTTTAGGGAATTCCTGCTGCCTTCGTCACTCTGTTGGGCAGAGACCTTCATGCCTGACCATATCAAAACAGAGTCACTGGAAAGGCTACGCTCAGCTATTTTTAAACCAGTACTAGATGTTGGTTGCAGCAGTGAGCTGTGCCATGCATAAAATGGGCAAGTGCTTCTTCCACGTAGGGCAGATATCACATCCCCATGACCAGAGGGACAGCAAGCAGGGATTGCAATGTGCACATCCTCCACAGAGATCTGACAGTTGCATTTTCTCTAAAGACAGGTAGAAAACAAAGTGACATTCATGATTCTTGAATTTCTTATTAGATGAACAAAAGGAAGTTATTACTCCATAAATCAAGAATCTGTTTCCCGAAGAGGAAATGGTTTGGCAATAATTTCACAGAAATTCTGCTAAACAAGAAGCATAGTCATATTCATTGAATAACACACCACATCACAAGTTTATTCAGGGACAAAAGGCCACTGTATCTGAGCCACAGATTGTGCAGCGATATTATTATATATTCAGCGTTTACTGTTGGTATTTAGCTGCTTTTCACACACATCTTTTTCTTATATGTAAGAAATTAGTAAGTGTGAAGCATATTTTTCTGTCATTTAATAAGTACATTGAGATACTAGCACTTTGTGATTGATAAAACTATTCTATCCACTCAGAAACAGGCAGATAGAATTGAAAAGAATATAACTTGTGAGTTTGTCAAGGAGTCAGAAACAGCAGAAAATAAACATTCGCTCTCTGACTATGTACTTATATTGACAACCTCAAAAATATTTTAAAAACTGAATTATAAATTTCTGGCTAAATAGTACTATAAAGAATTAGAGGTTTGGGGAATCTCTCCTATACCCCTTTTCTTTGAGGAAAAGGGGGTTTTTTTAACAAGGATTTAGACCAGTCAAGCTTGGAGATAACAGCTGTTCTAGATCTGTGAATGTACCTAAAAGTATATCTAGATAAAACTAGCATCCTAACTCAAGAACATGGAAAATAGTATGATTTAGGTAAGTATTACATTTCAGAAAAATATCATATTGTTTTCTTATAGAAATACTATATATGTGTGTGTATATATATTATGTACAGTAAGTTGTTATAGTTGAACTTGATTCAAAAGGCTAAATTTTAATCACCGTATATAATTTTTTATTTAAACATTTTTAATTGACACATAATTATACATATTTGTGAGGTACAGCGTGATGTTTTGATATACCTATACAATATATAATGATCAAATTAGGAAAACTAGCATATCTATCACCTTAGAGATTTATCATTTCTATCAGTTGAGTACATTGAATTCCTCTCTTCTAGCTATTTTGAAATATACAATATATTATTGCTAACTATAGGTACCCTCTTGTGCAGTGGAACACTGGAACTCCTTTCTCCCATCCAACCCTGACTTTGTACCCAGTGACAAACCACCCCCTATCTCTGATAACCACTCTCCTACTCTCTACTTCTATAAGATCAACTTTTTAAGATTGCACACCTGAGTGAGATTACATAGTATTTGTCTCTCTGTGCCTAGCTTATTTCACTTCATATAATGTTCTCCAGGCTCATCCAGGTTGCTACAAATGACAGAATTTTCTTTTATATATGGCTGCACAGTAGTTCACTGTTTTATACCACACTTTAAAAATTCGTTCATCTATTGATGGACACTTAGGTTGATTCCGTATTTTGGCTATTGTGAACAGCGCTAAATAAACATGAAGATATTTCTTTGATGCATTGATTGCTTTCTTTTGGATACAGACCTAGTAGTGGAACTGCTAAAGTATGGTAGTTCTGTTTTTAGTTTTTTGAGGAACCTCCATACCATTTTCAATAGTGGTTGCACTAATTTACATTCCCACTAACAGTGCGCTAGGGTTCCCTTTCTCCACAATCTCACCAGCTAGACGTCATAATGTTAAGTGAAATAAGCCAAGTATAAAAAGACAAATTTCACATGTTGTCACTCATATATGGGAGCTAAAAAGGTGGGTCTTATGAATATAGAGAGTAGATTGGCAGTTACCAGAGGCCAGGAAGGGTGGGAAGAAGGGGAGATAAAGAGGGGTTGATTAATGTTAGAAAAATCAAACCTAATGCTTAATGGAGCAGTAGGGCAACTATAATTAGCATTAATCTATTGTACATTTCAAAATAACTAGAAGAGAATCATTTTAATGTTACCACAAAATGAAAAGATAAATATTTAAGGTGATTAATACCCCAGTTACCTTGAATTGTTCTTTACATATTATATGATGTATCAAATTATCACATATACCCTGAAAATACGTGCATCTGTTTTGTATCTAGAAAACAAAAAACATTATATTTAAAATTAAAAATGAAGTCTGCAAATTAAAAAAAAATTTATTTGTTATACTTTAAGTTCTGGGGTACATGTGAAGAACATGCAAGTTTGGTACATAGGTATACACGTGCCATGGTAGTTTGCTGCATCCATTCCCAGTCATCTACATAAGGTATTTCTCCTAATGCTATCCCTCCCCAATTCCCCCACCTCCTGCTATCCCTTCCCTAGCCCCCACCCCTCAATAAGACTTAGTGTGTGATGTTCCTCTCCCTGTGTCCATATGTTCCCATTGTTCAATACCCACTTATCAGTGAGAACATGTGGTTGGTTTTCTGTCAGTTTGCTGAGAATGATGGTTTCCAGCTTCATCCATGTCCCTGCAAAGGACATGAATGCGTCCTTTTTTATGGCTGCATAGTATTCCATGATGCATATGTGCCACATGTTCTTTATCCAGTCTATCATTGATGGGCATTTAGGTTGGTTCCAAGTCTTGCTATTGTGAACAGTGCTGCAAAAAACATATGTGTGTATGTGTCTTTATAATACAGTGATTTATAATCCTTTGGGTATATACCCAGTAACAGGATTGCTGGGTCAAGTGGTATTTCTATTTCTAGATCCTTGAGGAATCACCACACTGTCTTCCACAATAGTTAAACTAGTCTACACTCTAAGCAAGAATGTAAAAGCATTCCTATTTTTCATCTTCTCCGGCATCTGTTGTCTCCTGATATTTTAATGATCACCATTCTAACTGGTGTGAGGTGGTGTCTCAATGTGGTTTTGATTTGCACTGATTTATTTGAAATTTAGCTAATTAAATTTTGAGAAGAGGATAGGGTTAGGATTGTAGGTTCTGAAGTCGGAAGTATCTGTTTGCCTAATTTTGCTTCACCATCTTAACAGAATCTTTTTTGCTTCAAATCTAGAAGTTGGCCTTGTTTAGATATGTATCTCTGTGGGATGCTGACATAATCTCACACTTTGGGGAAGTCCTTATCATGAAATCTTCTCATAATGACTCCACATCACCACTGATTGCTAAGGGTGTACAAATGTGAGAAGCTTTTTACAGTTGTTTGTGAGGTAGTCTCCTGGGGGGACTGCTAAGAAAGAGTTCCTCATTCTTAAAGAGATTGACAAGAAAGAGATGCTCCTCTTCTTCCACTAGACATTATAAGCCTGCCTGAGATCATTGAGAACTGCCATCATCCAACAGCTGTCAGCCCCAGACTGAAACATTGAGGGTGAGAACAGGATTCTGTAGGGAAACTGGGTCTGTAAGGACACAACTGTCCTGGATTACTCAACTCTTCATGCTTGTTATTTGGGCCATAGTATTTCCTTACCTTTCACACCAGTGTGAGACAAGATGAGGTGTTAATTCACCCAAAGATATCCGAATTCTGCTAACTTGATTAGCAGTTTGATTGGGATCCAAAGACATCCTAATTCTGCTAGTTGTAAGAATTGTAACCAAAGAACTTTGTATAAAGAGTTTTTTTTTTTTTTTTTTTTTTAATTTTTTATTGGATTATAGGTTTTGGGGTACATGAGCAGAGCATGCAAGACAGTTGCGTAGGTACACACATGGCAGTGTGCTTTGCTTTCCTTCTCCCCTTCACCCACATTCGGCATTTCTCCCCAGGCTATCCCTCCCCCCCTCCCCCTCCCACTGGCCCTCCCCTTTTCCCCCCAATAGACCCCAGTGTTTAGTACTCCCCTTTCTGTGTCCATGTGTTCTCATTTTTCATCACCCACCTATGAGTGAGAATATGCGGTGTTTCATTTTCTGTTCTTGTGTCAGTTTGCTGAGGATGATGTTTTCCAGATTCATCCATGTCCCTACAAACGACACGAACTCATCATTTCTGATTGCTGCATAATATTCCATGGTGTATATGTGCCACATTTTTCCAATCCAGTCTATTATCAATGGGCATTTGGGTTGATTCCAGGTCTTTGCTATTGTAAACAGTGCTGCAATGAACATTCGTGTACATGTGTCCTTATAGTAGAACGATTTATAGTCTTTTGGATATATACCCAGTAATGGGATTGCTGGGTCAAATGGAATTTCTATTTCTAAGGCCTTGAGGAATCGCCACACTGTCTTCCACAATGGTTGAACCAATTTACACTCCCACCAACAGTGTAAAAGTGTTCCTTTTTCTCCACATCCTCTCCAGCATCTGTTGTCTCCAGATTTTTTAATGATCGCCATTCTAACTGGCGTGAGATGGTATCTCAATGTGGTTTTGATTTGCATCTCTCTGATGACCAGTGACGATGAGCATTTTTTCATATGTATAAAGAGTTTTAAATGTTCTTTCACAATTTTTCCTAACGTCCACTTTTTGAAACTGTGGTGTAAAGAGAAAAGGTCAACATCCACAAGTTAGAAAAACTAACTCATTTTTTAAGAAGAGTCTTACATACAGTTTTAATATAAAGTTATTGTTCATAATTTAAGCTATTCAATATGTTAGGAATCTTAAGAAAAGGTACTATTAGGTGAAGATGTATTTAATGAATCTGTCTTTTCTATGTGGAACCAAAGTAAATGCAGTCACCTGTTTCAGAAAAAAAAAAAAAATACAAAATCAGAATCTGTGTATCTCCATGTAAGAAGATAATTATTTCAAACTAAAAAAAATAAGCAAGATACAGTGTATTCTGAGAAAAGTGCAACATGAATGCATCTTTCCTGTCCTTTGCTAACAGGTGTAAATTATCTTTCTTCTCTGAGCCAAATTCCAGTAGAACTTAGAGGTAATTGGGTGTTAGTGAGGGGTTTCTGCTCTAACTGGCCCTAGATAGGGAAAAATAATGTGAGGTTTATTTCTCCAGAGTATTTGAGGTACTGTATCTGGGACCTGGGTCTCAAAGGGCCTTAAGTAGAATGGTTAAGCAGAAATCTGTGAGCCCCAGGCAGTGGCTAACATCAGCCTCACAGGAATATGCCAAGCTTCCTGGGCCTCTGAGCACCCGCAATGGAATTAAATGTTTAGAGTTGGTCTTTCCTGTCCGTAAAGCTGAAAGACTATCAAGGGATCACAAGAAACAAAAGCCTCCTCCAAATGCCTCAGAATAAACTGGAAGTTCCTCTGCTAGTCCAATCCTGGCTCACAGAGTTACATAATACTTGATTTCCCACCTCCTGAGGCTAGACTGCACCAGCTGAGCCATCAAATAAAACACAGGTGTTTAAGAGACATAAGTGGTCAAAGGGGAACACAGAACATACCAGCATACACACAACACAAAGAGACAGAGACAACTTGAATTTTAAAAATGAATAGAGGACTTAAGATTCAATTGAAGAAATGCTTTAGGAACTAAAAAATCCCTGTAGCTTTCAAGTAAACAATTTAATACCTGTATTAAAGAAAAGGATGGTCATTTTTGAGCTCTGAGTTACCAACCTGCAGGCTCAAATAGAAGTAAAACCTCAAAACTCAGAGTGTTTTGCAACTCATATGCAAGAAAAATGGGAACATAAAAAGAGGGAGAGGATATAGACTAATTAGACGCAATGACATACAAACTTACAGGAAAAAAGAATAATGTTTCTTAATCTCTGAAAGACCTGAAACTGCAGTTAGAAACTGGCTAGCCATGTGCAGAAAGCTGAAACACATGGCTACCCTTTCCTTACACCTTACACAAAAATTAACTCCAGATGGATTAAAGACTTAAACATAAGACCTAACACCATAAAAACCCTAGAAGAAAACCTAGGCAATACCATTCAGGACATAGGCATAGTCAAGGGCTTCATGACTAAAACACCAAAAGCAATTGCAACAAAAGTCAAAATAGACAAATGGGATATTAAAGTGCTAATATCTGGAATCTACAAAGAACTAAAACAGATTTACAAGAAAAAAAACAAACCCATTCAAAAGTAGGTGAAGGATATGAACAGACACTTTTGAAAAGAAGACATTTATGAGGTCAACAAACATGAAAAAAATGCTCATCATCACTGATCATTAGAGAAATGCAAATCGAAACCACATTGAGATACCGTCTCACTCCAGTTAGAATGGCAATCATTAAAAAATCTGGAGACAACAGATGCTGGAGAGGATGTGGAGAAATAGGAACACTTTTACACTGTTGGTGGGGGTGTAAACTAGTTCAACCATTATGGAAGACAGTGTGGTGATTCCTCAATGATCCAAAAGTAGAAATACCATTCAACCCAGCAAACCCATTACTGGATATATACCCAAAGGATTATAAATCATTCTATTATAAAGACACATGCACATGTATGCTCACTGTGGCACTGTTTACAACAGCAAAGACTTGGAACTAACTCAAATGCCCATCGATGACAGACTGGTTAAACAAAATGTGGCATGTATACACCATGGAATACCATGAAGCCATAAAAAAGGATGAGTTCATGTCCTTTGCAGGGACATGGATAAAGCTGGAAACCATCATTCTCAGCAATCTGACAAGAACAGAAAACCAAACACCGCATGTTCTCACTGGTTAAGTGGGTGTTGAACAATGAGAAAACATAGACACGGGGAGGGAAACATCACATTCTGGGGCCTGTTAGGGGGTGAGAGAGCTAGGGGAGGGATAGCAGGGGGTGGGGGAATTAGGGATAGATAATATTAGGAGAAATATCTAATGTAGATGACAGGGGGATGGATGCAGCAAACCACCATGGCATGTGTATAACTATGTAACAATCCTGCATGATCTGCACATGTACACCAGAACTTAAAGTATAATAAAAAAGAAAAAAAATAGGGAGAAAAAAAAGAAAGTGTTAATCAAGTTCTAGGTTAAAATGCTGAGAAAATCTATATGGGTAGCTATTTGAAAAAAAAAAAGAAAAGAAAAAGATAAAGAAAAGAAAAGAAAGAAAAAAAAGTGTTGAGAAAAATTGACCCAGGTAAGGTCTGATGATATTACTGCACATAGAGTTGTCGGAATAAGATGAAAATAAGAGGATATAAAATCTTGTAAAATGCATTTAAAGCTATTTTTCTGAGAAAAAAAATGGTATCTTTGACTGCATGTTATAAAAAGAATTGAAACAATCTGAGCATACAGTTCGCAATGCCCTAAAAAGTTAAAAGGTGAAAACAAATTAACCTTAAAGATAAGAGCAAGAAATATAATAAAGAAGAGATTAATGAAATAAATTACTATACAATAAAGAGAATTAAAAATTGGTTATCTGAAATAAATAAAATTAATAATTTATAGTAAGACAAAGTAAAAATAGAGAAAGTATAAAATTTCAATAACAAATTTTAAAAGGGGGACATATTAGAATTATTACAGATCCTAAACAATTAAGAGGGTATTATGAATAAATTTATGCAGTAAAATTAAGGGGAAATTGGTGTATACATACATGTCTCCAAGTACAATAAAAAAGAAATAACAAAGTAGGTAAAGCAATTGCAGAGGAAGGGCATTCACCATTTACTCTTTCAGTATTGTTCTAGGTACTAGGCATACAAAAATTAAAACAGAGGAGAGCCGGGCGTGGTGTCTCACGCCTGTAATCCCAGCACTTTGGAGGTCAAGGCGGGTGGATCAACTGAGGTCGGGAGTTCAAGACCAGCCTGACCAACATGGCGAAACCCTGTCTTTAAAAAAAAAAAAAAAATATATATATATATATATATATATATATATCGGGAGGCTGAGGCAGGAGAATTGCCTGAACCCAGGAGGTGGAGGTTGCGGTGAGCCGAGATCGCGCCATTGTGCTCTAGCCTGGGTAACAAGAGTGAAACTCCATCTCAAACACAAATTATATATATATATAAAATTAAAACAGAGGAAAAAAAGTCAGAGAGAAAAAAGTAATCTCCAGTGTCATGGAGTTAAATTCTATTGCATAAGATCATTTTAAACGATTTCAAATTTTACTTCAAATATTTATGCAAAATAGTTTCTCATCTGGTTTTCCATTTATTTTGTATCTGTGCTTAAGTATTTTTTTAAAAAGTTGTCTGCATATGATTTCTCCTGCATACTCTTGAAAGAAAAGCTAAAACTTATCTGTTTTGCTAGTGTCTTCTAAGTAATCAGCAGATGGTTCTATTTATTGTCATTATGATTTGTCTCATTCTACTTAAGTTTGTTTCGTTGTTCTTTAGTCTGACTCCTTAGTAATACCTAACTGATAGATACCATTCATTAGTTTTAATCTCATTAAAAAAGAAATCATTATAAAAAATGACCAAAGAGTTGCTTACTTGAAAACGTAAAAACACATCCATAGATCAGGTTTGTATCAAAGAATTATGCAAAACTGAGGTTAGAAACTACCTAGAAAGCCACAAAAGGAGAAACAGCTTATACCAAAACATGCGAGCCAGAGCAGTACTCATTAAAAAAAGAGCACTGAAAACAAAGCTGTCATATAAACACAATGATGTTCAAAAGGATTAAAACTCATCCAAAGAAATTTAAAAAGGAATAAGCCAGAATGATACAGGTAATGAAATTAAATCAAGATAGCTAACACTGATGTATATTATATATTGTTAATTAAAATGTGAGCAAAGGTTATTCTTGAAAATGTAAAATAATAAGGTTGTTTTGGAAACCAATCTAACAATACTGGAAACATTAAAAACAAATCTGTACTTCAACTCAAACGTCTCACTGGAGAATTTATCCATGGTATCCACTGTGGGGAAAAAAAAACAATAGAAAAACTGTGTGCATATGTGTGTGTATATGTAAAACTAAATCATATTTTGTTCAGTACTCTATCAGGGATCAAAGATTTCTCTTGTATTTTTCTGCTACTCAAATATGAAGACTCTTATCCTCAAATTGCTTTATTACCATGACTGATTGCTAAAACAGAAATATAATTTTATATGAAAATTTATAAGATCTGTTTTAGATACCTTCAGGCAGTCATAAAACATGTCTAATAGTGGAGACATTATGAATTCATAATTGTACTTGTCTAAATTTACTAAATTTAAAACGCACCTCCTAATTTTTTGTCTATTTTAAATACAAGCCTCTGGTTATTAAAAAGTAAATAAAAGCTGGGGGGTGATTTCTAGAATTTTAACCAAAAGCATAATCTATTATCTCATGGCAACAGTTGTTTACATACCTTAACTTGAATAATGAGCTTTCAACAATTTCAAAATTTAAACACAATCTGTACCAATGTTGATATTTCCACACTCAGAACAAGTAATCATCATGTAGCGTAATATTCATGTGAAAATCTCATCATCACTAGCAACCACCAACACTAACAACAATTAACCAAGAATAACAAGTCAAATCAAGTAAGTATAAACTGTACTCCACGGTGACTTAAAAATTCAGCATTTCAGAACACTAATCTTCA